GGCAGCAGAAGGTGGCCACCGCGATATCGTTCAGCTTCTTCTTGACCACCAAACAGATGTCAATGCAGCACTAGCAGAGTAATATGGACGCACGGGCAGCAGACGGTGTAAAAGGCTGAAGCCAGTAAGCCATCCGGTAGCGGAACTTGTAAAGTTCCGCCCCGTCTGGATTCTTTGTCGGAAGCAAGTCTTTGTTCGCCAACTGGCGGAGCGGAGCTTGCCAGTTGGCAGTTCTTTGTGTCAAACCGGTAAACTCCCTGGGGATCCTGCTCCACAGGCTCCTCCATGTAATATAAGTATCAGGTCAAGGCCCGGTCAGTTTAGATAGTTCTCCAAGCAATTTGACTTTGGACTAGCAACTTATTATCTTTGCTACACAAGCTCTTTAGTCCTTAACATTTCAAATTGCTTCTCCATGGACAGCGAAATGAACACGGACGGATTGCCCCGATGGGCCGCGATGGCGGAAGCGATCAGTGAGATACAAGCCCAGATGCAGCAACAGAACCAGCAGGCTGCTCAACCAGGTCCGGCCCCGGCCGCCCCGGTGGCACCTGTTGGCAAGCCCAGAATGCCCCAACCCGAAGCGTTTGACGGGAAAGACCAGGCGGCATTCCCTGGGTGGCTGAACGTTATCAGGGCCAAAATCCACATTGACGGACAGTTTATCGGAAATGAAACAGAGCAGGCCTGGCATGTGTTTACTCTGCTAACTGGAGATGCAAGAATGAAGATCAATCCCTGGGTGGAAGAGAATAGCAGGAATCCTAACGTTTTTACGATAGAAAACCTGGTAGACCACCTTCGGCTTAACTACGAAGACCCTGCGCGGAAGGAGAAGGCCATCAGCCGCCTCTCCACTATCAAGCAGGGCAACCGCCCCGTAGACGGCTTGATCATAGATGTCAACCGCCTACTGATTGAGGCGGGTGGACAGAACTGGTCAGATGATAATAAACGGAATATCCTATACCAGGCCCTGAACGATACCATCCGACGCCAGCTGATCGGAGTAGAAAGAAAGGAGAGATTCAGCGATTTTTGCATGCAGGTTAAGCGGACTGGGGACAAGCTCCAGAAGATCAACCGACTTTCCCGGGGCTTGCAGCCAAGGCACAGCAGTTGTTGGGGGTAGGGCAGAAGGCTCAGAGTCTGACCGGATGGACTGGGAGGCCTCCACCGCAGAGGAGCCGAAACGGCGCGCAAAGTGGGTTTCCGAAGAGGAGCTCACTAAACGCAGAAAGGGCCGGCTCTGCTTCCGCTGTGGTGCGTCCGCCCACCGCGTGGCTAAATGTCCCTATCTTCCCCCGCGGCGCCCTGCTGGAAGGAAGCCCGCCGAGCAGCCTGCTGCCCAAGTTTTTGAAGCAGTCCTGGAAGAAGAAGAGGGTAAGGAGTTACCTCAGCCGGAAAAAGAAGAGCTTCCCTAAATCGTCGCTTGGGGAAGCATCAACCAGTAGATGCTTATTACCGGAGATTTCAAGAGGAGGCTGAGAAATATCAGGGAAAACAGTCGTTTACTACTTTAGGTCTAGTCAATCAAATTTACTATGCAGAAACTCTACAGTGTATTGCACCACCGGCCTGCCTACCTGGAACACTTCGAATTTGTTTCCCAAACCCTCAACCCGCAGGACTAGTCCTTATAGGGTTACTTAGTGTCGGAATAAAAGCTCTTGGCGAGCTATGACATGGTGTGTGTTTAGGTTACAGTTTCTGCGTGATTTTACATCGCGTGTGTTTTGATACACTGACCTCCTCCAGTGTAGAAAACATGAGATATATACTTTAAGAAAACGTACAGCCTATCTCCGCGTCAGTCGATGCGAGCTGCGACCTGTTGGTTTCTTTCTCTATTATTCGGCCATAATTCTCAATCGGCCATTTGGGCAACTTTTACTGGTCGGTCCCGTGAAGCGATGGGATGCTAGCAGCACACTATCCTCTTCTGGGCGGCTATTTTTGCCGTGTGATTGGGAGAAAAGCGCGAGGCTGAGAACGTAAAACTACCCGAATCTACTATAACTTCAGCTCTGCTTACCCTCCATTTCTAGGCCTTTGTCGAGAAACTCGACATAGCAAAGCCTGCTTGAATCTACCTGGAACCCTCCTGAAGCCCGTGCTGCGAAATGCGACCGAGAAGCCGCGATGACTTTGCGATCGCGATTATCTGCGCCCTCCCTCTCGAGGCGGAAGCGGTCGAAGCCCTGTTCGATGAAACCTATGATCGGCTTGGAAAACATTACGGCAAACAACGAGGCGACGCGAATGCATACATAAATGGACGGATTGGCAAGCATGACGTGGTCCTGTGTTATATGCCTGGAATGGGCAAGGGCAGTGCAGCTGCCGTTGCCTCCAGTCTGCTAGTCAGCTACCCAAACATCAAGCTTGCTTTGGTGGTTGGTATCTGCGGGGGCGCCCCACCGCCCCCCAAATATCAGGAGATATTCCTCGGTGATGTGATCATCAGTGACTCGGTGATCGAATATGACTTTGGCCGACAGTACCCTGGGGGGTTTCAACGGAAAAGTGACGTTAAGGACACGCTAGGCAGGCCAGGTCGAGAGATCCGGGCTCTTCTAAATGGCCTCCGCACCGAGAATGCTCGCAGGGATCTTCAGGACCAGACACAGCAATACCTTCACTCCCTCCAACAAACAGGGGCCAAGTGGTGTCATCCCCGGGTCCGCGATATCCTTTTCCAGGCCTCTTATCTGCACAAGCATTCTGAGCATGCTTCTCCTGCTAGTTGCTCCTGTTCTGGGACTAACGCACCTGACCAAATCTGCGAAGAGGCATTAGGAAAGGAGTGCAACGAGCTGGACTGCGACCTAGGTCAACGAGCCCGATGTCGAGAGATCTCAGACGCTAGCCGGACTTCTATATATATTGGACCCGTTGCCTCTGCCGACACAGTGATGAAGTCTGGACAGCATCGTGATCAGATTGTCACCAAAGAGAAGGTTGTTGGGTTTGAGATGGAGGGAGCAGGGGTATGGGACAATGTCCCATGCATTATCATCAAAGGGGTCTGTGACTATGCCGACAGCCACAAGAGCAAGATGTGGCAGGCATATGCAGCAGCGACCGGAGCGTCGGTGGCAAAGGCCTTCTTAGAGTATTGGATGCCGGTAAAGTACCAAGGTTAGTAAAGTATCTAGTAAGAGGTTAGTGATATCAAATATCTAATATATCTGATAGATGCGAGCAAACATGGCCACCTAATAATCCCCTTTGCAAGAAATTCGCATTTCGTGGGCCGCCAAAAAGAGATCCAGGAAGTAGAGGATTTAATCTCTGCGCCAGACGGACCGAGAAAGCTTGCTATTACCGGATTGGGCGGGGTGGGGAAGACCCAAATTGCGCTGGAGCTCGCTTACCGCGTTCGCGATAGAGAGCCTGAATATTCAATCTTCTGGATCCCGTGCACCAGCTATGAGGCTGTTGAACAGGCCTTTATAAGCATAGCACAACAGGTGGGGCTTCAGGATGTGGAGCCAGCCGAGGTAAAAGAGCAGCTCCAGGCTTACTTTATCCAGACCAATGAGAGGTGGATTCTTATTTTCGACAATGCAGATGAAATAGATATGTGGATCAAGGGCAGCCCCCAGGTACCACCACTCAGAAATATCATTCCTCAGAGTGAGAATGGCCATGTGCTCTTCACATCACGCAACCATCAGCTTGCGTTGAAGCTGGCAGCAGCAAATATAGTCTCTATTCCCGACGTGGGTCAGAAGACTGGCAAGGAGATCTTCAAGGAGCTACTAGTCCAGAAAGATCTTCTTCAAGATGATTACATGACAAATATACTTCTTAAGCAGCTTGCCTTTCTCCCTCTGGCAATCAGCCAAGCCGCAGCTTATATTAATCAGAACCGCATTTCCTTGGCGAGATACATGTCACTACTGGGTGAACAGGAGGCAAGCACAATAGAAATGCTGAGCGAGGAGTTTGAGGATGACGGACGCTATGCAGAGATCCAGAACCCAGTGGCTATGACCTGGCTGGTCTCCTTCATACAAATCCAACAAATGAATCAAATGGCAGGCGACTATCTGTCATTTATGGCTTGTATTAACCCACGGGACATACCAGAGTCGATTCTGCCGGCCACATCTTCGGCAAAACAAAAACTGGAAGCATTAGGTGTTCTTAAAGCATATTCATTTATCAGCACACAAATTGATGACAGCAGTTTTAGTCTTCATCGACTTGTGCATCTCGCCACTCGAAACTGGCTTCGGGAAAGAGAGAGCCTTGAGACTTGGGTGGAAAAAGTAGCCGACCAGTTGGACCAGGTGTTTCCGAATAACAACCATGACAATCGACGTGAGTGGAGGGACTACCTACCACATGCATTGTATCTGGCGAACAGCGCAGAATTCCAGGCACACCAGGACACCTACCATGACTTCCTAGCAAGAATGGCAGGCTGCCTGCAGAATGATGGCAGGTATGGTGAGGCAGAGATCATATGTAGAAATGTCCTTGAAATGCGGGAACGAGCATGCGGACTCGAGGATCCTGATACTCTGACCAGTGTCAGCCAGCTTGGTTCGGT